GCTGATCTGAAGCCAGGACCCAGGAGCGTCCTGAGGGTCTCCCACATTGGTGCAGGAACCCAAGGACTTGGGCCATCTTCTACTGCTTCCCCAGGCCATAGCAGAGAGCTGGATCAGAAGTGGAGCAGCCGGGACTCGAACCAGCACCCATATAAGATGTCGGCACGCACGCGGTGGTTTTACCCGCTATGCCACAGTATTGGCCCTGTGACTAAGACTTTCAATAAGATAATCTAGAACATAATTGTTAATACTGTATTTTGATTATCTGAGTTGCAGCTAAAGGGATGCAACAAATGAACATGTTGTGGATTAACACATCAAGGAAAACTGCCCCCATGGATTTTGGGTCATGATATCACTTCAGAAAGGTTTAAGGATGGATCCAAAGGAAGAGAGGGATGAAGAACAGGAGAGAGGGGTAGACATGTGGAGGGGAAAAAGTAAAAGAGAGTACAGTTGCTAGAAGCTCTGTTTTACTCTTGATCTATTGTTGTTCCTTGTATTTCTAAAGATCCCCCTACTGAAATCTAAATGAAAAGGAAGTTGTTATTTTTCAATTACATAATTCATTTTTTGTGGTGGGAGAGGAGGAAGGTGGGGAAGCAGAGATCATCAAAGTTTTCTAGGAATAAAGCAATCTGGTGTTTCTGGGGGCAGACACTGATACCTGGGTTATTCCAAACCTTGAATGTTCAGAAGAGGATTAAAGAGTAGATGGATCAAGCTGATTATTCTTACCCCATTTGGGGGCCACTTGTTATATGAGACAAAGAGGACAAGGCTGTCAAACACTGTTTATTCTTACAGGATACACAATTTTCTGTAAGACTTGGCACATATATAAAGTGTGATAAAAAAAAATGAAAGATGAGGGCTACTCCGCAGATAATTGGGTAGGTATCAGAATGAGAAAATGTGCTAAAAAGCCCCCGAGATAGAGACAACAAAGAATGATTCAGGGACAAATGGACACAATAATTCTTGATTCTACCAGTGTGTCTACAGCACTAATAAAAAATTCAGCAGTTTTCATGAACTGCAATACAAGCACAGAACAAGATGGGCAGAGTACTGTAGGGAGCAACAGGAGGTTCACACAGGATCAAAGCTGAATTACAGTTGATTGTATGACAACATGATGCAGTGTACACAGCTGCTATCACACTGTTACTTCCACTTTAGATTTCAACAGACAAGAGACCTTTTGACAACAGCTTAATCAACAGATACCTCGATTATGAACAGTTCCAATCATAGCTTTTGTGACAGAGGTCTTGATCAGAACTATTTGGAGACATTTTTGTCACTGGGAAGGAAGACAAAGATTTGTATTAAAGTAACTCCGCTCCCAGTTAGAGCACAAAATGTACTTAACAATCGAAGCTAAACCACTTAAATTCAATATAAATATTTCATTGGAGAAAGGAGATGTCTATCAAAATGATATTAAAAATTATCAACTTCCTTTTGTTTCTTATATGTGTATTTCCAAATGGCTTCCTATGCTTTTTTAAAAATTTTCTGTATTAGTGCACCATAGTGATTAAAAATAAATTCAGGGGAGGGGCATTGTGGTAAAGCCAATTAGGCTGCCAATTAGGGTGCTTGAATCCCACATGAGATCCAGTCTCAGCTCCTCTGCTCTCATCCAGCAGGTGGCATCAGTACTAGAGTTCCTGCCACCATGTGGGAGACACGGATGGAGTTTCTGGCTCTTGGGTTCAGCTTGGGCATTTGGGCAGTGAACCTGTAGATGGAAGATCTCTATCAATCTATCTTTATTTCTCTGTCATTCTGCCTTTCAAATAAATAAAATAAAATATTTAAAAAAGAATAAATTCATAGATAAGAAAGGAGGGAATATATAGCAACAGCAGTTCTCGTCAGGTATGGCCCACGGCATCTTTTGACCCCAAGACTTTGTTCTCTGCCATATTATCTTCACGCTGCCTTGGATGTGTACTAGGGTGTGTGACAACTTTCTAAAGTGACAGAAGCGGTGGTGGTGGGGCTTCTGGTGCAGCAGGTGACTTGGGAGGCCCACATTCCCTTTCGTAATGCTTGGTTTAAGGTCTGGCTCTGCTTCCAAGAGAGCTTCCTGCAAATGCATGCCCTGGAGGCAGCCGGTGATGGCTTACTTCTTTTGGGAGAACTGGATTGTGTTTTTGGTTTCTGGGTTTGGCCTGGCTGTTGCAGGCATTTAAAGAATGAACCAGTAAATAGAAGACCTCTCTCTCTGTCTCTCACTTTTTCTTTTTTTCTCTCTCCCTCTCTTTATCTCTGCCATTCAAACAAAAGGAAAAGAAATAAAAAGCTATAAAGTTCTAGAATGACACTGTAAAAATAAACATTTTAATCTTTTAGAAATAATCATGGAATTAAGATTCTCAAGATACCCTTCTTGAGGCAAGTACTATAGCGCAGGGAGTTAAGCTGCCTCCTGCAGTGCTGGCATCCCATATGGGTGCTGGTTCTAGGCCTGGCTGCTCCACTTCTGGTCCAGCTCCCTGCTTGAGCTTCTGCACCCACATGGGAGACCCGGAGGCAGCTCCTGGTTCCTGGCTCCTGACTTAGTTCTGGCCAAGCCGTGGCTGTTGTGGCCAACTGGGGAGTGAACCACCAGATGAAAGATTTCTCTCTCTGGCTCCCCCTCCCCTCCATAACTCTGCCTTTCACATAAATAAATAAATATTTAGATTTATTTTTATACATATATTTATTATATATTTATGTATTTATTATAAATATAATATTTATTTTACAGAGAGGCAGAAGTAGAGACAGAGAGAGAGATGTCTTCCATGTGCTGGTTCACTCCCCAAATGGCTGCAGTGGACAGAGCTGAGCCTTTCTGAAGCCAGGAACTAAGAGCTTCTACGGGTTTCCCACATGGATGTAGGAGCCCAAGGACTTGGGCCATCTTCTAGTGCTTTCCCAGGCCATAGCAGAGAGCTGGATCAGAAGTGGAGCAGCTAGGAATTGAACCATTGCCCATGTTAGATGCCGGCACTGCAAAAGGCGGCTACACCCAAATATTAAAAAAAAAAAAAAATGAAACCTTCTTCATGTAACAGAAATATAGAACTTAAAAATGAAATTCTAATAGTGTCTATGCTTTTAGACATTTAGAAAATACAGGCAAGAAACAAGTACATTGTTACATTCTAAGTATATTCGTGGAAACCAGAAGTCCTTTGATATTTGGATCTTTTTAGAATGTACTAAGTTACCTCATTTCCAAATATTTTCAATATATATTATATTTTATTTAAGAGTATATTTTATCTATTATGAATTCAGTACATATTCACACCACAGTCTGAGAATGCATTGAATTTTTATAACATGTCAAATTCAGGCCAGCCCAGAACAAATAGCATTAAAGTGAAATTTACCTACAGTTTCTCATTTTATGGGCTAGCAAAATCACATATAATATCCCTAACTAAGCTGCAAGATTCCTAGAGCTTTTGTATTATGATTTTTTTTCCTTAATGTGAATCGTAATGGCCTCTCCACACTTATATTAATTTTTAATCACAGTGTCTTACACTGTTGATTGAATTCCCCACCACTACTAATGGCCTTTCTTGTAATATTCATTCATTTAAAATATGTATGCTGATGCCATATCTTATTTTTCAAAGGAAACCTGTTTAAAGCCAAAAGCAAAATAATAGTCACATGGATGTTAGGCCACAGCGGGTTACCATGTGTTTGATCAGCCCTGCCAACGGAAAATCCTTAAAATCTCAGTTGGGAAAAAATGGCTCCATTAGGATAAAGTAAAAAGGAAAATTATTCATGGCATACTGGTATATACATGGTATATTCTTTAACAATGAATTTCACTCATATGCACATTATTTTGAGTAACTGAACTGGAACAAAACTAGAAGGCACTCATGTTTTTATATAGGGACACTTCTAATAAAAATTTAGTAAAAGTAAACATTAGTATTCTTGACAATAATACGTTCCTCTGCAGAATTTAGTTAAGAATAAGTAAAATATTTAGTCAGATTAGCACTTACCCATCACAATATGCTAAAAACATGGGAATAAATATTAAAAGATAGCTTATGAAATTTTAAGGTGGTATAATAGCCACTGAGTTAAGATGCTGTGTAAAGGTAACTTTAGTAACTAGCCTACATGCTAATTTATTTTGCTTCCAAAAGGAAAAAAAAAGTAATTCTGTTTGTTTACTTAAAGAAAACAGATTTCATGGAGTTCATAGATACAGTTCTAAGAATATGATACTTCCCTCCCTCCTTCTTCCTACCTATCTTTTTTTAAAAATTTGGTGATGACATATTTTAATTTACTTTATAGTCACAGGCTTAATGCTCCACTAAATAAGGAGTTCAACAAGTAAAAAGCAGAAAGAACACTGTTCACAGGAATACAGACAAGGGCTATAAACATTAATCAGACCCCCAAGATGTCAACTTCATTTGTACACATTAATTTCTTTTTGTACTCTACAAACTAGAAATCACAAATCAGGGGCCAGCGCCGTGGCTCACTTGGTTAATCCTCCGCCTTGCATTTCTGGCATCCCATATGGGCTCCGGGTTCTAGTCCTGGATGCTCCTCTTCCAGTCCAGCTTTCTGCTGTGGCCCGGGAGGGCAGTGGAGGATGGCCCAAGTGCTTGGGGCCTGCACCCACATGGGAGACCAGGAGGAGGCACCTGGCTCCTGGCTTTGGATTAGTGTAGCTCCGGCCGTATCGGCCATTTGGGGGGTGAACCAACGGAAGGAAGACCTTTCTCTCTGTCTCTCTCTCTGTCTATAACTCTACCTGTCAAATAAAAAAAAATTAAAAAAAAAAGAAATCACAAATCAAAGAAAATGTCATGCTTGTCTTTTGGCATGTTTCACTAAGCATAATGGTCTCCAGTTGCATCCATTTTGTTCTTTTCTGCAAGCAGCCACATATTCTACAGAATTTGTATACTTCTAATTATTATTACAAAGTTCGTCTCTGAGGATACCTTTCAGCTGACATTTTAGCCCACTGTATCCGGGACAGCACCTCCAATCCAAGGAAGTAACAATCTTGTGTTGCATCCTATAGACAGGATTTGATACCTTCTGAGATCTAGAGAGGAGAAAAATTGTGAGAAGATCAATTATTTGTCTCATATTAGTTTTTCAGTTGGAGTAATAGATGGAGAGTATATGGAACAATGCCTGAGATATTATAGGCATTTAGTAAATGTTAGCTGTTATTAAAATAATTCTTATTAAAATAAATTCTTATTAAAATAAATTTTTCATCAATATTATTGCCAAACTTAGATTTCTTTGAATATACTACAAAGAATGTTGTGGTTATACTGTTTGGTATTTTAAAAATTGATACCTATTCAATTCATTTTCTAAAGATACAGCTTTAACTGAAATGCTTTTAGCTAAACCAATGGGAAAAATCACTTAAATTCCAATTTCTAAAGTTTATATGTGGGGAATAATTTGTTTTATTTCTATTATTTTCTTTATAATTATAGCTAAAATTATCTGCATTTCCTGCAGATCTATATTAACCAACTTGAACAAGCTGGATATTAATGTTACCTAATCTAAATTATTATAACCACAGTCATTTTCAGGCTATATCTAAATCTCCTAAATGTTAAAATTATCCTATATACTATTTCTTTTACACACTATTTCCAGGAGGTGGGGGGATGAGATAGAGGGACAGAATCTTTAGTGAGAAAATGTTTCTTGGATGAAACCATGGAAAAGAAATGAAGGAATTGTAACATTTCCTATTCAGTATAATTAGTAACGGTACAAATTATAGGCTCAATCTATGTATGTAACAGTAAGTCATAAGCAAAATTTAAGCATATTATTCTTATATATGACTGATTTAGCTGATATTCATCAAACAGGTCTGTGACATGGCTACGTACAATTTGTCTTAATTTTCATATTGGTCTATAATGGGTGTATTATTAATTTGATTTAATGAATAAGTAGATTAAGAACAGAGAGGCAGTTAATCTTATAGTATAAAGTAAACTGAAAATAGATCTTTGTAAAAATTAAGAGTGGGAATAGGAGAGAGGGGTGGAAGAGGGTGGGAGCGTGGGTGGGAAGGAGGATAGGTGGGAAGAATCACTATGTTCATAAATCTGTAACATGAAATGTATGAAATTTGTATACCTTAAATAAAATAAAAAAAAACAGATAAGTGAAATAATTTGCTTAACATCCCAGATCTAAAAGTGGTAGAGGAGTACATAGAGTTTGGATAACAGGGACCGAAACAGAGAAGGCAAGAAGGAATAAGTTCCGAGTGCGCATGGCTCAGTGTCAGGTAACTATGGTTATCACAGCCCGCAATAACCTGCTTTATGTTGATGAGCAAATAGAAGAAAGGAGCTCCAAGGCTCCAGTCACAAAGTAATATCAGAGAAGGGGACATGAGGATTACTCTGATCAGATCAGAGTAATTTTCTTCATAAAATTTTATTATTATTCATAATTTTATTCATAAATTGAAATGCTGTACTGTAGTCCATATAATTCATATTTACTGTTAAATAGAAATTTTAAAACGGGGACCAGCTCTGTGCCGTAGCGTTTTTAACCTTCACCTACAGTGTCAGCATCCCATGTAGGTGCTGGTTCAAGTCCTGGCTGCCCCACTTCCAATCCAGCTCCCTGTTAATGCTCTTAGGAAGCAGCTGAAGATGACCAAGTACTTGGGTCCTTACACCCACGTGGGAGACCCAGAAGAAGCTTCTGGCTCCTGGCTTTGGCCTTGTCATTCTCAGCCTGGCCACGGCAGCCATTTGGGGAGTAAACCAGCACATGGAAGATCTCTCTCTCTGTGTCTCTTTCTCTTTCTCTCTCAGTATACTCTGCCCTTCAAATAAATAAAATAAATCTTAAAAACATTTTCTAAATAAATAAAAGTGGTAGAGCTGAGATTTTTATTCCTGTTGTATGCCCACGCTGGCACACTATTGTTATTCCAGAGTTTATCACAGTCAACTAGGAAGTCTCCAGTCATCCACATGGGAATTCCCTGACCACACAGCCAGAAAGCATTGTAAGCAGACAGGGCTCCAGGAGGTTGGGCTTTAGTTTCTGCTAAAACATTATAGGTACTCAATATGTTCAAGGTTATTCCTCAGTTACATAATGAGCTACCAGATTGTTCCCACTTCCATAAGCACACTAATCATCTATCTACATTTATTTCAGTAAGTTCTATTCAGTAAATAACTGTCCAGTATGATATCATGTCCAGTCCAATAGGTAAAGTTAAAAATGAAGGCGACCAGGAAGGGACTTTAGTTTGTAGGGTGAGCTCAAGAAGTTAGTTTATTGTTGGGGTCAGGGTTCTTCCTTCAATTATTGTTGATGTCAGTGTTCGTGCTTTGGCAAATAAATACCTGTTGTTTGCAGCTCAGGCATAATCAAAGGAAAAGTAGCAAACATTCCACTGGGATTGAAATAGGGAATGAACAAACAAATCCATTTAAAGGCATACAAATATAGGCTATGAGAATAGCAATAAATACATGTGGTTTGTTTAAGAGCAGTGAATAAAAAAGGGAGTGGGGGAGTTCACCTTGAACCTAGAAGGGCCATATGATAGATGTTACTGTGGTAGTATTTTCATTACTAAAATTTAACAATGCACTCTTTGTGTCTCATGTTGACAGGAAAATTGTCACAAAGTGAGTAAATGCCAAAAGCACAATTGGAGCTCAGCTCTTTCAAGTCCCTGAGATGTGCTAAGCTCTCTGGACCATGAACCTTCACCTTCAAGGGACCAGGGAACACCTCAGTTTTATGTATCCTTACTGTGCACTCTTCCAGATTGCCCATGTGTCAGTTTCATTGCCTGAGTTATTTACATGACAATTTGCATAACATTAGCCATCATGGCCTGAACAACAACGTTAGTTTTTATTGCAGGCTTTTCAGAAACACCTTTTGCTGAGCTACTGTGACTGATAGATTCCGAGAACTTATCAATCACTCAGCCTTACATTTTGGGACAATGATATAGATTTTTTTTTTAAATGAACACCAAATAACAAGAGTCATCAAAATAGACACAATAAGAAAGGTCCCACTTTGCTCTTTTACTAGGCATACTTGCAATCAGTGGATTAGCAAACTGTAGAATATGAGCTAAATTATGGATGGATTTCCTTTGATCTAGTATGAAAAGAAATGACCAATAAATCTTCAAAATTATGTATGAATTTCATAAGGAATTAAAGGACAGGATTGTTGATCAGTTAAATAAAAATAAGAGTGATAGTAAAAAGAGAAACAAGTATTAGTGGTAACCTTCCTTGAACATTCACAATGCACCTGGCAGGCTAAGCATAGGCATGCATGATCTCCTAGGTTTCTGCAAACAACCATATGAGACAAGTGAGTGACATCTTGTCTCTGCATTTTAACTCCCTGAATTCATATAATTAATGTAATGTGATGACCCTTTCCCCATGCTACCACACATAAATCTGTACCTGGAATGGCTAACTTATCCCTGGCCGTAAGTCACTGTAGTGGCTATTGTTAAGAAAGATTACATACCTCTGAGCACAGGATCCACTGGTCCAGCCGCAGGGACTTCTGCTACCTGGAACATAAGTGGTCAGGGGGTCCAGGACCACTGTCGGGGACAGCCTAGTATGCACATAGGCACACCAGTTCCTAAGGAAAAGATCACTGTTGTTAGCAAAGAAATCACCAAAATTATTTCCATAGAAGAATATTTACTTCTGCCAGTATTGTAGGTCAGGTAACTTAAAGGATTGGCCTCTAGGTTTGACACATCTAGGTATGAGAAAAAAAATACATTACCACTTTTTGCTATGCTCCAAAAAAGTTATTTAAAAAAACTACAGACCAAAATTAAGAAAGAAAAAAATCAGATCTAAAATCTGAATCTGCAGTGTTTAGCCATAACAGGGGTCAAAATCCAAGGTTGATCTTGTAAGAAGTTTGAATATTAATATTGAGGTCAGGTACATAGGTCTAGGTCCATTACCTTGAGTAACAAGACAGAAGTAAATAAGTTGAATAATATGTTGTAAATAAATATCTAAATGTTAAAAAATGAAGAAAAAGCAACTTATTAGCAGATGATGTGATTATAAATAAAGCATAAAATATTCTAGAAGAAAATGTTAATAACTAATTGGAAAGTTCAACAATGGTATTAAGCTCAATATAAAATGTTTATAACTAACTTAAAATTTAATTTACATTAATTATGCCATAAGGTTAAGATCAGTTACATTTCTATGTACTAATTAACTCAAAAAAGATACAATTTATAATAGCAATAAACCCACAAGAATAACAAAAAGAATAATAAAAAATCCAACCAAAGAGTACAGTATTTAATATATACAAATTTTAAGCTTCACATGAATTTCAGTTTTTCTCTGGTTATAATAGAATATCAGATTTATCTCCCTCGGTAGGGTTGGCAATTTGGCACAGCACTTAAGACGTCACTTGGGATGCCCATGTCCTATATTGGAGGGTCTGGGTTAAAGCCCTGTCTTGTGCTTGCCGTTCCAGCTTCCTGCTAATGTATGCTATTGGAGGCAGCAGATGCTGACTCAAGTATGTGAGTCCCTGCCACCCACTTGGGAGACCTGGATGGAGTTCCAGGCTTCTACCTTTGTTCTGGCCCAGCCTTGGTTGTGGGCTTTTTTTTTTTTTTTTTTTTTTTTTTGACAGGCAGAGTGGACAGTGAGAGAGAGAGAGACAGAGAGAAAGGTCTTCCTTTGCCGTTGGTTCACCCTCCAATGGCCGCCACGGTCTCCCATGGGGTGCAGGGCCCAAGGACTTGGGCCATCCTCCACTGCACTTCCCTGGCCACAGCAGAGAGTTGGCCTGGAAGAGGGGCAACCGGGACAGAATCCGGCGCCCCGACCGGGACTAGAACCCGGTGTGCCGGCACCGCAAGGTGGAGGATTAGCCTAGTGAGCCGCGGCGCCAGCGGTTGTGGGCATTTGAAGGAACCAGTTGATGACTCTGTCTCTGTTTCTCTCTCTACCTTCCAGACAAATTTAAAAAAAAATCTCCTCTGGTAAAAATTATAAATCTGGACAAGATATGCAAAGTCACAATTTTCAGATACTGGAGAGCAAACCATGCAGCAGTATGATTCTTGAGGGACAGGTAACACAAGAGGTTAGCACTACATTTGGTCTACTCTCTGCCTGGGAATAATTCTTCAAACTGTCATCACAGAGAAATGGGTCCAAATAAAAGAACCCTTGGTTAAAGAAGCATAGATCTGAGTTGTGGGCTGCTGAGATGGGCAAGATGAACAGGGAGATTAATGAAAGGAGAGGCTGGGCAGAGATGTCACTGTCAAATCCAATATAGAGAGACCCTTGAATGCCATGTTGTGCTTGCAGACAAGCAAATACATTCTAATAACACAGCAACCACAGTGTCCAGCATGAAAGGTAAGCAGACAAAACTAGATGTGAGAAGAGCATGGAAATAGGACCTCAACATGGAATAAAACACCAGTAAACAGAAAAACAGAAACAAAACACAGATGACACACAAGACATAATCACAAACAGTGGCTTTAAAACAGTTAACCACCTTGCTTCAGGGATTCATTTCAGCTCATTTGTCAAAAACTGTTAGTTGTAGATGCATGGATTAATTTCTAGGGTTTCTATTCAGTTCCATTGGTCTACATGTCTATTTTTGTGCCAGTACCAAGCTGTTTTATTATTACTGACCTGTATATGTCTTGATTTGTGCTATCGTTACGTCTCCAGTTTTGTTTTTATCATTTAAGATTGCTTTAGCTACTCAAGGTCTCTTGTGTTTCCATATAGATTTTAGCATATTTTTGTCTAGATCTGAGAAGGATGTCCTTGGTAATTTGATTGGGATCCCATGACTTTAAAATTGTTTTGGATAGTATGGACACTTTGATGATATTAATTCTTCCAATCCACAAAAATGGAAGATTTTTCCTTTTTTTTAAACTTTTATTTACCAAATATAAATTTCCAAAGTACAGTTTATGGATTACAATGGCTCCCCCCATAACTTCCCTCCCACCTACAACCCTCCCATCTCCCACTCCTTCTCCCATTCCATTCACATCAAGATTCATTTTCAATTATCTTTATATACAGAATATCGATTTAGTATATATTAAGTAAAGATTTCAACAGTTTGCACCCACACAGAAACACAAAGTGTAAAATACTGTTTCAGTACTAGTTATAGCATTACTTCACATTGGACAACACATTAAGGACATTCAGTACTAGTTATAGCATTACTTCACATTGGACAACACATTAAGGACAGAACACAGTGACTCCTGTTGTTGACTTAACAATGTGACACTCTTGTTTATGGTGTCAGTAATCTCCCTAAGCTCTAGTCATGAGTTGCCCAGGCTATGGAAGCCTTTTGAGTTCACCGATTTCGATCTTACTCAGACATGGTCATAGTCAAAGTGGAAGTTCTCTCCTCCCTTCAGAGATGGCCTTGTTCTTTCCACTGGGATCTCACTCACAGAGATCTTTCATTTAGTTTGTTTTTTTTTTTTTTTTTTTTTTGGGTCTTGGCTTTCCATGCCTAAAATACTCTCATGGGCTCTTCAGCCAGATCTGACTGCCTTAAGGCCTGAATATAACCCTACCATACAACCCAGCCATACTGCTCCTTGGAATTTACCCAAAGGAAATTAAATTGGCAAACAAACAAGCTGTCTGTGCATTAATGTTTATTGCAGCTCAATTCACAATAGCTAAGACCTGGAACCAACCCAAATGCCCATCAACAGTAGACTGGATAAAGAAATTATGGGACATGTACTCTATAGAATACTATACAGCAGTCAAAAACAATGAAATCCGGTCATTTCCAATAAGATGTAGGAATCTGGAAAACATTATGCTGAGTGAATTAAGCCAGTCCCAAAGGGACAAATATCATATGTTCTCCCTGATCGGTGACAACTAACTGAGCACCAAAGGGGAAACCTGTTGAAGTGAAATGGACACTGTGAGAAACAGTGACTTGATCAGGTCTTGTGCTGACTGTTGATGTACAATGTAATACTTTATCTCTTTTAGTATTTTTTTTGTTCTAGTACTATTGGTTGAACACTGTAATTAACACACAATTATTCTTAGGTGTTTAACTGAAAGATGATCCCTGTTAAATATAAGAGTGGGAATAAGAGAGGGAGGAGATGTACAATTTGGGACATGCTCAATCTCAATCGGATTTGCCCCAAATGGTGGAGTTAGAAACATGCCAGGGGATTCCAATGCAATCCCATCAAGGTTGCATGTACCAATGCCATCTCACTAGTCCAAGTGATCAATTTCAGTTCACAATTGATCACACTGATAGGTCTAAGAGTCAAAGGGATCACACAAACAAGACTAGTGTCTGCTAATACTAGCTGACAGAATAGAAAAGGGAGAGAACGATCCAACATGGGAAGTGGGATACACAGCAGACTCATAGAAGGGCAGATATCCTAAATAGCACTCTGGCCTCAGAATCAGCCCTTAAGGCAGATTTTTCCTTTTTTGTGTCTTCTGTTTTTTTCCTTAATGCTTTGTAGTTTTCATTGTAGAGCTCTTTCACATCCTTGGTTAAATTTATTCCAAGGTATTCAAATTTTTTTAGCTTTTGTGAATGTCACTGATCTTATAGGTTCTTTCTCAACCATGGAATTGTTTTTACATAAAAATCCTCTTTACTATGACCTTGTCTAAATATGATCAGAGTCAGCGAACTCAAAAGGCTTCCAGAGCCTTGGCAACTCATGACAAGAGCCTAAGGTGATTACTGACGCCATAAACAAGAGTGACAATTTGTTAAGTCAACAACAGGAGTCACTGTGCACTTACTCCTCATGTAGGATCTCTGTCCTTAATGTGCTTTACATTTTGATTTAATGCTATAACTAATATTCAAACAGTACTTAATACTTTGTGTTTCTGTGTGGGTGCAAACTGTTGAAATCTTTACTTAATATATACTAAATTGATCTTCTGTATATAAAGAGAATTGAAAATGAATCTTGATGTGAATGGAAGGGGAGAGAGAGCAAGAGAGGGGAGGGTTGTAGGTGGGATGGAAGTTATAGGGGGTGGAAAAGCCATTGTAATCCATAAGCTGTACTTTGGAAATTTATATTCATTAAATAAAAGTTAAAAAAAGTACTTTTATCCTCCTTGAGATGAATGGCAGTTCACACGCAGAGAGCTTTTAAAATTCTAAATAGTGAAACAATCTCATGACTGAAATAGTTGAGGAGGCAAAGAAACAAACCCACAGATCGCTCATGGTCCACCAATCTTTGATCCAGCGTAAATTGGAAGAACTATCCACAGCAAAAGAGCCCCTGGTGTGACTCCTAATTAGGTTTATGCTACTGATGAAATAAGCTTATTAAGCTATGCTAAAAATGTAAATATGATTTTAAAACCAAATTATCTGAAAATGTAGGTTTAAAAAGAGAAAATGAAGCATGACAAAATGGTGACAGGCAGTTTAAAGGCAAACGTGATGATCCAAGACAAGCGTTTTGCTTAAACCTAGAAATCCTTTGTATCTTTCCAGGCTGATTATGTTAGATGGAGAGCAGTTACTTTGAAGTGTTTAGCTTTCCACAGGGTCATAACCCTCCAACCAGCAGA